GGTCATTGTTCCATATGCCTGGGGACAAGGGATTATAGTCCAACACCAATGGAGGGTGCTGGATTGGTGAAGGCAACTACAAATCCTATGATGCAATTTGTTATTTACCTTTCTTCTGCCACAGAGGTGCACGCTGAACACAGCCTCGTGGCTCACCCATCAAGGTTTGCCAGCAACTCAATGATTTCACTCTTTTTGCAGTCCCAGGCAGGCAGCCAGAGCAGAATATTTATCAAGTCCTCATTCCCTTCCCCTCCCCCATCCATCAGGCCCCAGGGGAAAGGGGTGCCGTGCGTGAGTGATGGGCCATGTTCTGCTTGGCGGGTTGCAAATTAATCTGTGCTAAGCAACCATAAGTACATGCCATGGGCTTGTTTAATAAGATTGCCATTCGGATGGGAAAAAGCAAGCAGTATTGCTTAACTAAGGCGGTAACCGAGAAAGCCCATAAAGCATTGCCTTAAACCAGCCAAGGGTCCCATCTTTCAGGCTTGGGCTTTGAGCAGTAGCAACCTGTAAGGAAGGTCAGGTGAGGGCATGTTAGTGCTCAAGGCCACAGTGCAGTGAGATTCATGATCTGGTGAGGATTTGAATCCTGGTCTCCTGAGTCCTAGTCCAACACATGCACCGCTATGCCATGCAAAGCACGAGCTGAGCCCAATTCTGGGTACAAAAAAGATCCAAGCTTGAAAGTGGCTTTCAAGAATAACAAATACAATGTTATGCTGAATCCAACTATAAATGAGCAGTGGGAGAGGGGTGCTTTAGGATCATGGAGACAGCCTGGTGTAGTGGTTAGAGTGTCGAACTGTGGCTCCTAAGGGCAAGGTCTGAATCCTCACTAGACCGTGAAGCTCCCTGGGTGTCCCTCAGCTGAACAGTTTCTCACCTGACGTCCTCCCCAGGGTTGTTAGTGATATAGTGGGGAGAAGAGAGCCATGTGTGCTTCTTGACCTCATTGGGGAAAAGGCGCTCTGTGTGTGTGTGTGTGTGTGTTTTGTGTGTTTGCTGTCTTTCTCCTCAAAAGGGACCAAAGGTGGCTCACAACAGAAAAAAAATCAGCTTTAAAAACACTACATAAAATCAAATATTTTTTAAAAAACGATTAGACATAAATTGCGATTAAATATAATCTGAATATAAAGGTTACAAGTAAATAAACAAACCTTTTCTTTTTCTACTATGATTCCCAGAATCCCTAGTCTGCCCTGTGGTTTTTTTTTTCTCCTAGCACCTTTTAATTAAAACTTAGAAAAGTTCATTTTTTTTAGTTTTTGATTTTTTTTTAGATTACAAAGTTATTTTTTTTGGTACTCCAAAGCCAGTCAGCTTGGCCAGATACTTTGCTGGAAGATTCGGGGAATTGTAATCATCATTATATGCCATCACATCAATTCTGACTTATGGCGACCCCTTTCAAGGTCTTCCAGGTAGAGAGTACAGTGGTGCCCCACATAGCGACGATAATCCATTCCGAAAAAATTGTCGCTATGTGGATTCTTCGCTATGCGTGGCAAAAAAGACCATAAGAATGCATTAAAACATGTTTAATGCGTTCCTGTGGGCAAAAAACTCTCCTCAATGTGAAGATAAAAAGATTGCAATGCAATCGCTTTTACGATCGCAAAAAACAAATCGCTATGCGGATTCTTCGTTAAATGGGGCGCTCGTTAAGTGAGGCACCACTGTATTTCCCTTCCTGCCCAATCACCAGAAATGATCTCTTCACTCTATCTTGGCTCTGGGCTGCCATATTACCTGAATTATTAGAGGGTTAGCCATATCCTGAACTTGCTTACCCAGTGCTTGTCTCCAGAATCTGCAGGCCCCCAAACTCTTGGCTGCCCCACCTCTGTGATGTCACACTATCCCTCAAGAATCACTCGTTATGCGGGGCACCACTGTACTTAGAAGGGGTTTTCCAGTCCCTTCTTCCGGGGAGGGGCGGTGTCCTGGGACTGAACAGCTTGCCCAGGGCCACACAGGCTGGCTCTTCTCCCTGGATGCCCAGTAGGGAATTAAACTCTCTGGCTCCAAGGCCAGATACCTGACTCACTGAGCTATGCAGCCTGTTGTACTTTACTTGGGAGTGTGAAACTCCAGCTGTATTTATCTTCTCACATTTCTGCAAGTATCATCTGCATTGTTTTCTTGTCTTTGTTCTTACAGAGGGTTGGAAGACTCTGGGGTTTTCTTCCTGCGCTGAAATTCCTTCAGTTTTTAATGCAGTGTCCCTAATGCGAACATTTATATGTGCAATTTAGCAATTTGACACCACGGTTCCCCATGGGCCAAACCTCATTTGTGTGCTTTTAAAAAATCACAACAATTCTAGCTGTTCACATCTTAAAACGTGCATCTTGTTTTATTTGCAAATTATTTTTCGGAAAGCCCTTGTAAGCTTTGGAAATGTGCAAATCCACACAGACAGTGGTACATTTTCTCACCGCGGAGAGATAAATATAAATAGATTCTCATCAGGACCATTGCAGACAATGGCATGCGTTTCCATTTCCACCTCTCCCACTGGGCTGTGGTTTGTGTGCCAACTCTATATAGAGTGCCAGGGTTGTCGGGTTAGCAGGATCTCACTGCCTGAGAGTTCTGAGCCGAAACCGGAGGCTCAGGGGCTGAGAATTAAAATATCAAATAGGCCAAACCAAAGAACTTCTTGTTGGAATTCTAGCAACCTGCACATTACGCCTTTGGGAGGTTTGGAGGGAAGGGACTTTAAAGTGAATGTCAATCACAAAGTAGCAACCAATTCTTCCATCTCAAATTCCTTTTCCTGCCTTTCCCCCCCAGTTAGGGTTTTGTGGCAGTTAAAGTCTATTAGCAAAGTCTGTGCTCTTCTGAGTATTCTCCACCCTGAAAAGGGTTTCCATATGTCCAAATTGACCTGAAGAACCCATGGTTATTATTATTAGATAGAGCAGTGGTTCTTAACCTTTGTTACTCGGATGCTGACCTGAAGAACTCATGGTTATTATTATTAGATAGAGCACATGCTCAGCCAGTGCAGCATTAAATTAACCCGTTAAGATCTTAAACTATGCAACTATCTCTTGTTTGTGATTTAGGCATATATGAAGACTTTGTGAGTAAAAGAGATACATTTTTAATTCTTTCTCAACACCAGTGTCTCCACAAGCTCAGCCAGTGCAGCATTAAAGTAACCCGTTAAGATCTTAAACTATGCAACTATCTCTTGTTTGTGATTTAGGCATATATGAAGACTTTGTGAGTAAAAGAGATGCATTTTTAATTCTTTCTCAACACCAGTGTCTCTGACTGAATTTATTGAGCTTATTGCCAGCTAACATAAATTGAGGGAAATCTAACTAAAACTAACTAACAATAAGGGGAGGTATATTTGAGGGAAACTGATTATAAAACTCTGCTCTGTAGGTCCCTGTATGGATTTATTTCCACTGTGTAACTAAAGGGTTTAAACCAGCATTTCCTCACACACTCTGCCAATACTTCTGCCACTCTCCAACTCTTGCTGGCTCACAGAGGCTGAGAAGACAAGAGTTGGGGGGGCAGAACTTCTTCAGTGCTGCTGATTGTAGAAAAAGGCATGAGATGTGTTTTGGTAAATGGGCTCAGAATGGGCTACAACCAAACTAATCAGGGCACCTTAGAGCCGGGAGGCTGAAAATACTCTCTCTTTCTCTCTCTCTGCAGCTGAACAGGTAGCAATGCGTGCCCAACAGCTGCATTAAGGTTTCACCATGTTGAGAGAGGCAGTGCCCGGAAGAGGTGGGAATCCAGGGCACTGGGAAACACCAAACACCTGTTTCTCCAGTCAACAAACTGGCACAAACTGCTGAACTGGCAGTTCATGCCCATCTCTACTCAAAACTCCTGCTAGAGCCTGGATTTTGGAACAAGAAGTCTCATGAGCTGTGCTGCTAGTGCTTCGCTCTTTGTCTCACTCCCAATAACATAGTGCACCAAAAGAGGTGCCCCCACTGTCTCCTCTGTCTTGTCCCCTTCCTTTTTAGTCTGCCAGTGGTGTGGCAGCACAACGTATGCAAAACATCTCCTATGATCCTAACGTTAGCTGGACATTAGCTGGGTCTCTGCTCGAGCTGAGATTTTCCTCTCTGCTTCTAGTCCTCAAGAAACAAAGCCATTTCCGGAGAGCCCATGTAGTGCACAGAGATCTAGCTATTCAACTGCCAGGAAGTGGTGGATCTATATGTCTGGACCCCTGAAGCTTGAACGGTTATGAGGGTCCTTTCACAACCAGCAACGAGGCCTGGTAACCACTCCTATCTTCTTCAATGGGTTTGCTCCATAACAGATCATTGTTTTGTTTGTTTTTTTAATGTGGACTAAATCCGCTTCTTGGGAGGAAAGCAATGACAAACTTAGACAGCATCTTAAAAAGCAGAGACATCACCTTGCTGAGAAAAGTCAGCATAGTCACGGCTATGGTTTTTCCAGTAGCGATGTATGGAAGTGAGAGCTGGACCATAAAGAAGGCTGACCGCCAAAGAATTGATGCTTTTGAATTGTGGTACTGGAGAGTCCCCTAGACTGCAAAGAGAACAAACCTATCCATTCTAAAGGAAATCAACCCTGAGTGCTCACTGGAAGGACAGATCCTGAAGCCTTTGGCCATCTCATGAGAAGAGAAGAATCCCTGGAAAAGACCTTGATGTTGGGAAAGTGTGAGGGCAAGAGGAGAAGAGGATGACAGAGGATGAGATGGCTGGATAGTGTCATTGAAGCGACCAACATGAATTTGACCCAACTCCCGGAGACAGTGGAAGACAGGAGGGCCTGGTGTGCTCTGGCCTATGGGGTCATGAAGAGTTGGACACGACTTAACGACTAAACAACAACAAAAAAAAGCTGCTTCTGGGCTCCTTCTGGGATTAGAAGCTCTGAAGCTTGAGTTTCATTCGTCTCCTACTAGATCCGCTCCTCCTGCCAGGAGATCTCTTTTCCTGCTCGTCAGAAACATCCCAAGAAACAAGAGTAGGACTTACTGTTTGTCATCTTTGAACCACTGAAACTCAGCAGGTGGCACCGCCATGGCTTCACAGCGTAAGAGGGCTGTCTTTCCCAGCAGGGGCCGTGAGTCCTTGACATCTGTGATGGTCGGGGGATCTAAGAAGAGGGAATAACAGAAGTGAGAACTATGTTAAGGATTTAGATGTCACATCTCAGACTTCCAATAGCTGGTCTTCCAATGAGAGAGATGCTGGGGAAAACCCTCCCAAGGAAAGGGCAGGGGGAAAAATGCTATAAAAGAGGTAACCAAATTGTAGTCCTCCAGATATGGCCAGATTCTGACTTCCGTTAGCCCTGGGCAACCCTGTCGAGGGTTACGAATGCTACAAAGTACCATCTAACATCAGCCGGAGTCACTTTGCTAGAGCCACTTTTCTCTCCTCCCTGGAGCCTCTGGTATGGTTGAAAGGAGGTGAGCAGTCAGGGCATGGAAGCGAGGGGGTCCCACTCACAATTGACAGTGATAAGGACACGCTTGCTGTCGGGCGTCGAGACCCCATTCGCTGTAATGCACTCGTACTCCCCAGCTTGCTGCCGGTTGATCTCCGTGATTTCCAGGTACTCCCCTTCACTGGTGAATCCATCTGTGGGAGAGGATTGGCGGGGTGGCGGGGAGGGGATCAGGGCCAGCAGTAGGGAGACAGACACAAACACAGACTTACATACAAGAAAACACATACAACAACAATAGTGTTATCAACACCTCCTACAGGTAGGGACTGTCTCGCTCTGGAGTTTTGGGTCAGAATGAATTTTTTTGGGGGGAGAGACTAAATATTCTGAGGATCCAGGCAGCCATATTTCCCACCCCTTGGTCTTGGGATCCCCCCCATCACACCCCCAAAATATGTTGGCCCCAAATGGCCAACTGTACCTCTAGAAGTCTGTAAGTGATATGATTTGCCATGTTTATATCCAATTTCCTGGTGGCTTCCAGAGTCTTCTAGTTTGGAAAATGCCACCTTTTGAAAAGAAACTAGTAGAATCCATTGCCTAAAACAGGTCTGGAGGGAGTGGAGAGCTTACATTTATAGGGAAAAACCATGTTCCACAAAGTTGATGGGAATATGAGTTGCCATTGGAGGTCAAACTGGAGGAGGGGAAGATGAAGGCTCATGGCCACTCCAAGGGGGTCACTTGTGGCTCATAGGCTACCCTTTGTCCACACATTATTTGGAATGTGTGGACAGAGGATATTGGCCAATTGATCACTTCCTATGCTTGGCATTTTCTTTTGACTTTATGTAAACTATCGCTGATGCACTACATCAATTAAATTAAAAGCTTAAAACAAAGTTTCTTTGCCTCGCCTTTGCCTTGTTGCTAGTGTAGCTGTACCCTGAGTTGGTATACTTGGTTGCAGAACCAGAGGTCAAGAGTTTGAATCCCCACTGCACCTCCCAGGATCCCTGTGCACCTCCTGTGCAAGCTGCATAGCTTCCAATCTTTTCAATCTCATGTGTATAAAGACTGGGCTGACCCTCTCTAGGATTCTAAAGGAATGCTAGACAAGAGTTAGGATTCTACAAATTAAATCAGGAACTGGTCAAAACAGTTTGAAAGATCTATCCAGCTGTTAGTGCACATCCACAGAAGCACACATTTGCAAAACCGGCATTGTGCAATGCCTGCTGATTCATGTACTACAAATTGGAAGGAGGATTTCATCTGAATAATTGAAATTATAAATATAACAGAGCATAATGAATGGGATAGGTGACAAAATACTGGAACATAGAGTACTCCTGTTAGAACATTTAATCAACAGTCATGCTCACTTCCATGATATTCCATTGTATTTCTTATTGTGCCACAGTTTCCCAACTATCGCTCAATGACGAGAATCTTTCTCTCTGTCAACTTTCCATTCAGACTGCAGACAGGTTGTTCATGGCAGGGCCCAAGAGAATGAAACAAAGGGAATATCGCCAGCCCCCTCCCCCCTCCAGCCTTCTTACCTTTCAACTGCCGCCAAGTTACTGTTGGCTCGGGCTTGCCCATCGCAAGGCAGAGCAGGTTCACGTTACTCCCCTCATTCACAGTCACAGCTGATGAGATATTGACAATCCGAGCTGGGACTGTAGGAGTATGAAAGACAACAACGGTGAATATCAAGGCAGTTTTATCCTCCTACCCCTAGGGGGTGCTCTCTTGTCTGAGACCACACAGGCCTTGAACCATTTGTCAACATGGTGCAGCAACTGAACAACTGATTGTCTTTCTCTTCCTGCTGTGAAAAAAAATTCCTAGGGAATCTCAAGACTGGGACTGTATAGCTAACGTAGGCTGCAAAGCTCAGTTTTGATTTGTTTGTGTGTGAGAGAGACAGGGAGAGGGAGAGAGATTGGGAGACCCTCCTTGAGACCCTTGTCTGAAGGCCTCCAGAGGTTTCCAGTTTTGCTTGGGCAGTGAATCTATTCCAAGCTAAACTATGGACAAAAGATGCAAGATGCTGGCATTTGATGGAGGTTCAGCACCATGGACACCTCCTTTAACATTCTAACAACAAAAACTCGGAGTGATTCCCTGCCCCCATGAAACGGGACCAGCAAACATCCACTGGGATCACCTTCCACTGCTGTGACATCATGGTGGGGCACATCTCCTGGCATCACAAGGCCCTGTCCCTAAGTCTCAGGGTTTGGCTTTGAGGTCTTATATAGGGAGTGGGATGTTGCTGACCTGGCCACGCCCAGAGTGGTCAACGAGACCAGATGAGCAGGATACAAATCAAATAAATAAATAAAATAAATAAAAGCAAAATCCTGTGTTTAAAAGGTGACCTGTAACCTTCCTCATGACACTTCCTCCATTTCTGATGTGGAATGACCAGCCCACCCAGCGTAATGCCCCTCTGGAATTGGGGACAACTGGGATGAAAAGCAAATCCACACTTAAACGTCATCTCGTCATCATGATGGACATTTTTGCTCAATGGGTATAAATAGCTCTCCTCCGCCCCCCAAAAAACAACTTTGCTTCTTCAGCAAATCCCCATCCCATTGCTTTGGGGGTTAATTCCCAATAGCTCTTATCTCTGCCTGGGCGGAAGAGCCCCTTGCCAAAACCAATTTGCTTTCTCCCCTCTCCTGATGGGGCCTAAGGATATTTATTGTCAAGAGTGTGTGTGTGTGTGTGTGTGTTTAGGGAGGTGATGCTGATGATGGGGAATGATAGAGAAGCTGAGAGCAGCTGTTTCCTGACTCCCAGGCTGCTGCTTGTTCCAGACCGGGTCCAATCAGCTTCTATTGTACCAGCTTCCCAGTTCCATGGGAAACAGGGGAGGGATGTAATTATGGGGTGGCTGGTTTTGCAGTTGTGGCTTTTGCCAATGCTGCAGAAATCCCGGACGTGGTTGGAAATCGGTGCAGGAGCTGATAATGAGAGAGAGGGAGAAAGAGAGAGAGAAGGAAGGAGAGCTGTTTCCAGTTGGCTTTGACAGCTAGGGAGAGATTCTGAATTGTCCAAGATCAAAGTTGAACCAGCCCATGAGATTCTTGGCAGCTTCTTAGGATTATCAACTGCATCTGTGCTACAAAGGTTAGTGGAGCAGACAATGTCATGGACAGACCTGGCCTATAACCTCTCTGCGGAGTTGGGAAAGTTAGTTTTCCAGATCACAGCTCCCCAAATAATGTTCTGCATCTTTGCCTTTTCAGAGGTTCTCTGGGATAGCCTGAAGTCAACCATGCACTACTGCAGACATTGTCCACTTCAGTGGGGCTTGGACAGGAAAACTGATTGTGTCCCTGGGAGAAACATATTTGTATATTTGATCCTAAATACAACAAACCCCTGGAGGATTCAGCCTGCCAGCACTGCTTGAACTCCTCATCTTCCCACTAGACCAGAGGTGGGCAGCTGTGATCTTCCAGATGTTGTTCAGCTATAACTCTCATATAGGATTGAGAAGAAATCATATTCAATTGTTTTCCTCTAATGAGATGGACAGTCTCAACATGTCAAGAAAGGCTACTGAGAGCCCAGCACTCCTATGAGATGCTTTGCCTTCAGTGTGAGAACAAGATGAGCGTATTTTTCCCCCTCTTGTAAAGGTTTTATCAATTTTGCAGATTATCTCTGAGCAAAACGAACTTCCTTCCCCTTTGGGAAGCAAATGCAGAGCAAATGCACAATGACTGGCGAATTAATTTTTAAAAAGACTGAAACAACCCATTCAATGCTTCTAATTTTGAAAAACTCCTGCAATAGTGCAGTGATGGTCATAATTTTAGTTGTGCATTTTATGCAATTTATGTCACTTGCATAATTGATATCCAAAGTGCCTGAAAACCATTCTTGCAAATGTGATAATTGTCACTGAGACTGACCCAAACTATCTTGCTATGTCTTAGGTGAGGAAAGAAAATAATCTGTGGTTTATTTTTTTTTTCACATGTGAGAACAAGCTAAGCTAGGATCTAGCCTTAGCCAATTCAGCCAATGTCAAGTGGGTAATGGGATCTGCAGTCTAATAGCATCTGCAGGGCCATACATTTTCACCTTTGTTCTAGGCTAGTGGCTCCCAACTTTGGGTGCCCAGATGTTCTTGGACTACATCTACCAGAAATCTTGGCCCGCACAGCTAGTGGTGAAGGCCTCTGGAAGTTTTAGTCTAAGAATATCTGGGGACCCATGGTTGGGAACTAACTATTCTAGACTTTTTCTTGCCTATATTGACCAGATTTCCCAATTACGGGGACCCATGGTTGGGAACTAACTGATCTAGACTTTTGCTTGCCTATATTGACCAGATTTCCCAATTAAGTGAAGTTAATGCTGATAGTGTTGAATCTGAACACAAGAAGTGTATCCTGGAATAACAGCACTTGAACTCGGCACATCTTTCAATTAACTTATGCAATCAGTGGATAAGTTAGACATTGTAGTGACGTGGTAAAAAAAATCGGGCAAATTATCCTCCATCCCCAAAACAGTCACATTTCGATTGGCCCAGCTTTCTTCCCCCAATAGATAGGTTTCTCTCCCAAACAATAGCAATGTGATTGATCTCTCATGGGTGGTATTTACAGTCTGTTGAGATCCACCTACCAGTGAATGGACCAAGGATGTGGGGTTGAAATTCCCTGAAGTATCCTATCCAGATAAAGTATACAGTGGTGCCTCGCTAGACGATGATAATTCATTCCACTCAAATCGCTGTTTAGCGAAATCATTGTCTAGCGAAAAGCATTTCCCGATTGGAATGCATTGAAATCTGTTTAATGTGTTCCAATGGGGAAGAATCGTCATTGTCTAGTGAAGATCAGCCAAAGGAAAGCCATTTTGCGAACCGCCGATCAGCTGCTTAAATCGCTGTCTTGTGAAGTTTAGGTCCCGAAAACACCTGTTTTGCGAGCGCGGAGGAAGCTGTCAAAATCGTTGTCTAGTGAAAATTGGTTTGCGAAGCAGGGACCAAACATTGTCCAGCGAAATTCCCCCATAGGAACCACTGTTTTGCGAATCGCTATAGCGATCGCAAAAAGTCAATGTCTAGCGAAAAAACTGTCATGCGGGGGAACTGTCTAGTGAGGCACCACTGTAGAATGAACCTATAATGGGGAGATATGGCTACCCCTTAAGAATGCTACACTTTGAAAGTCATCGTCCAAGCTCTCTTCCATCGTCTCACCCAATATTGAATTTCCGTTCAGTTTAATCAGTGGCCAATATGTCTGTGATCACCAGGCCAGAATTATGGGTGGCTTTGAAGCTCATTTCTTGAGTCTTCCAGGAGTTCTTATCTCTTGACAAACCTTGAGGGAAGATTCTCTGTATCCTGATTGTTTAAAGGCACTCTGGGAGGCCCTAGCACTTCCCAGCTCCTCCACTCCTCCAGCATCATTAAACAGCAGCTAGAAGAAAGCCAAGGATTCATAGCCTGCTTTGATCTCTACATGTTTCAGTGCGAATGCAAAGCGGTATATAGAAAGAAACAAATAAGAATGGTACAAAAAGTCTACAAAGACGAAGGGATTAGGGATGGAACCAGTTGGACAACTCTTAATTAATCCAAAAACAAATAAACAAAGAAAGATTGGAAAACTTCCAGTATCTCATTACACTGACCATGCTGACTAGGGATACTGGGATTTGTAGTTAAAAGAAATATCCTTCCCCCCCTCCCAACTTTGCAAAAGGCACTGCATACCTTTTATACTTTTTCTTCCTTAATTCATTGTCTGTGACAAAGAAAAAAGAGAAAAGAAGCAACAGGAAACGATAGGATGGCTATGAATAGGTGTCCTGCTTAGAAGTCTGTGAAGTTCTCTGAACAAGGCAGGATGCTTACATGACAAAAGCCCTGCCTACAAAACCAAAGTAATAAATCTTCACTTGTCCCATCTTTGCAACTTAGGATGAGAAACCTGTTCTATTTTCCTCCTTGTCATCAAAGATCATAAGAAATTCTCAGGCTCCCTCAATACTGTGCCTGCCATAGCCAGAATGATGATCTGTTCAAATCAGGCAGGTTTTTGCACAAATCAGGCAGATTTTGTGCAAAATTGTGCCATTTGTACAAACAGCATAAAACCAAGATGACTATGGTCCATGTTTCATGGACATTTAAGCATATGAAGAATTGGATGGTTGCTTTGCATCTTTTACAGCAAGCAGGCCGTCCGTCTGTTCTTGCTGCACACGTGTCCATGTGCGCGCATGTTGCTTCATGGAAAGGATACTCGTTTTGCACAGATGTATTTTGTGGAAATTGAGGAGACTTTAAGCAGTTGGAACTCCTTGTCTAAACTCTTGGCTGGAGGCAAGGAATCTCAAGGGGCTTGACCATTCCCTACTGCGATGTCTCATGAGTTTGAGACCAGCTAAATTACCAAGGGGAAAGAAGCTAGCAAATACTCCTTGCATCCCTCCACAAACAGCTGAGGTCTTTGGGATCATCAAGAACCACCTTAAGCAGCTTACAGTCCTGCCCCTTCCCCCATATCCGTACCGTGGACAATGAGGTACACCTGAGAGGTGTGGGGCTTATCTTGTGTCTGGAAGGAGCACGTGTAAAGTCCTTCGTCGTACACGTCCACTTGAGTGATGACGATGCTGAACTCGGAAGGGCTGTAGGTGAGCAGCTGCACCCGGGAGTCGATGGACCACTTGTCATTGCCAGCGTAGAGGATGTTGGAGCGGTTCAACCACGCCACACGGGTCACCTGTTGGTCTATGTAGCAGCTGTAGAGGAGAGAGGCGGAGGTGGCAGAGGTGAGTGGAAGGGGGAAGACACGAAGGACGTACGATGTAGAGGGGGACAATTTTTAAAAAACTTCAAGTTCTTTTCCTCCCAAACATCAAGGCAGTCACCCTGCCCCAGAGATGGAAATCATCATAATCATCATCTTAGAACTGCAAGGCTGGAAGGGACCCTATGGATCATCAAGTCCAGCCCCTGTCAAGGAGGCAAAGGTTGGGAATCAAATGTCCAATCTCTGGCTCTACAGCATTTCTCATGCATCTGATTTTTCAAAAGTTCAAATACCTTTCCAAACCTAAGATACAGTGGTGCCCTGCTTGACGATGATAATCCATTCCAGGAAAATCGCTGTTAAGCAAAATCGTCGTCAAGTGGGAAAAAACCCGTTGGAATGCATTGAAAACCGATTAATGCGTTCCAATGGGGAAAAACCTCATCGTCCAGCAAAAATCACCAATAGAGAACCGCCAATCAGCTGTTTAAAATCGCTGTCTTCCGAAGCAGGGGTCCGGAAAACAGCCATTTTGCAAAGGGAAGCCATTTTGAAGAGCCGGAAAAATCAATGTTTAGTGAACAAACGGTTCGCAAAGCAGGCTCCTAATCAACGTCAAGCAGAAAGGAGGCTCCTAATCAACGTCAAGCAGAAAAACCCCATTGGAACCATCGTTTTGCGATCACAACAGCGATCGCAAAAAACTCGCCGTAAAGTGATTTCGACGTCATGTGGGGTAAGTGTCTATAAAGTGATTTCGACGTCATGCGGATTAAGTGTCTAGCGGGGCACCACTGTATTTGCAAAGGTTTGCTCAATTCTTCCAAAACAAACTCAAACATTCCTCTATAAAATCATCATATGTCACATTTATGCAAATTGGCATCCTCCTTTGCTCCCTCCCCTTCGCGGGAGCGTGCACACACATGCTTTTTTTTAGCAACACATAAGTAGTCACTGGATCTGTGTGTCAATGGTCCTGAGCGAATGACGTATTGCTGAATTGATAAGCAGAAAAGCTGCACCTACTTCTATCTCTACATGCAGAGTGAAATCCAGGTTATTATAGCTGTGCATATATTGAGGGAAGGAGAAAGGAAGAAAGGGAGGGAAGCGGGGAGGGAAGAGAAATAACTTCAGGGTTCTCCTCAGTCCTGGCAAAGCCTTTGGCTGTTTCTCTCCACCAAGTCCTTTGAAGTCCAGAAACCCATGTTATTACAGCTCTTTTTATCACATCCTAAAAACTTGAACACCTTCCAAACTGCAGATTTATGGAAATAATGAGCGTTTGGAGGAGGAGGGGTGGGAATTAAATGAGTCCGAACTCGGTGAACTCGCCTGCCTATTTTTGATTCTACACACACAGATTTTGCAACGTTAACTCTCCTTCGCCAGGGTGGGCTGGACTCCATCTGCTCCCAAACCTTGGTCTTCTCAACCCTCAACCTTAAACCCCCCACCCACCCGGGTGAGAACGCGTTCAATCTCATTTTTATGGGCCCTCTTTCTTTTCACCCCATAGCTCCCAGCTGGGAGATTTAATTATCGGAGTGGTTTTCTCTCACCTTGAAGGCGAGTGGGCGCTAAGTAATCCCGTTTCTTGGTCCCTGACAGCTGTCAGGCGTAGATTGGACAAGTGTTCTGAGATAAGTGGAGATGAGATGGGCGGTAGGACTTCTGTGTGCCTCCATTCAAATTATCACTGACCCTGATATTTTATAGAAACGGTTATTCCTCCTCCTTCGCATCGTGCAATGCCCGGAGAACTGAGCTGTACACCACATCACGCTCTAGCTGGAGTGGCCCAGCCAGGAGAAAAGGTTTGAATCTTCGCACCATAAAAGCCGAAATCAACGCATTCTCTTGTTACAGAATTATTTTCCCAGATTAAAATCCAAAAGAAAATGAGGAAAAGCTTGAAGGAGACTAAAAATCTTCGGAAGAGAAAGGGGGGAAGGTTCTACTTAACCACCTCCCACCCGTCTCTACCCTCTTGCTGGCTCACACTTGCACCCTGCTTTCATTTTATTGATGAATATTGTTTATAGCCAGGTTTTACCTCCAGTGACTTCAAGGAAGTGCACTTAGTTCTCTTTCTCCCTCTAACATCCCCACAACAACAGTTCTGTTCAGGCTGAGAGACAGAAAGATTAGCTCAAACTCAGCCACTGTGTTTTGGTTCACCAGGGATTAAGATTTCTGATTTTCCAGTCTAAAAGTCTGACTACTACACTCTTTCTTCCTCTCATAGATATATAGAAGCTGAGGAGGAGAATTTAGGGGTACTAAATATTTGGCCATGAATGGGCTAAGACATTCTGTTCTCACCCTCTCCTCTATTCGCCTTGAAGACCATCAACAGAAACCATGCCTTCTTGGTCATGGCCCCATCCTTATGAAATCAGCTTCCCACAGCAGTATACCAAGCCTCCTCCCTCCCATCATTTAAGAGAATGTTAATCACTGTTCTGTTTCAAGATACATTCAAGGACATCTTCTCTTAAGTTTTGATCTGTTTCCCCTAATTCCACCATCTTTTGCGGTCTCTTTCAATTAGGGTTCTAGCTCATTTATGGATGTTTAGTGTTGGCATGTTGAGTGGATGTTGCATTGCATTGTTGTAAACTGCCGAGAATGGTATAAAGGTACACCTTGTCACTTGAAATGTGCAGTGGTGGGAAAGGTAGCAATGGGCAAAATTCTTTTTCCCATTCAACTTTCAGTCCCATGGATTCCAACCTTCTCTTTCTGTTCCAGTTGTTGGGTTGCATGTACAGTGGTGCCCCGCATAGCAACAATAATCTGTGCAGCAAAAATAGCTGCAAAACTATTTCGTCACTATGCAAGTTTAAAAAGCCCATAGAAATGCATTGAAACCCCTTCAATGCGTTCCTATGGGCTTAAAACTCACCTTAAAGCGAAAATCCTCCAAACGGCTGCCATTTTCGCTGCCCAGTAAGCGAGGAATCGGCGCGAAAACACAGTGGGCGGCCTTTTGTTTACCCGGCGGCCATTTTGGAACCACTGATCAGCTGTTAAAAAAATCATCGCTTTGCGATGATCGGTAAGCGAAACAGGGTACCGATCATCGCAAAGCGATTTTTCCCCATAGGGAACATAACACTGCGATCGCAAAAGCGATCACCAAAAAAAGCATCGCTATGCAGTTTCGTCGTTAAACGGGCTGCCCGTTAAGCGAGGCACCACTGTATCTTGTTTTAACCCCCCCCCCAAGAAATGTTTCATTTGACAACCTTGCTGTGTCTGGCCTTTCCATCAACCCTCCAAATCCTGACACAGGGAAAAAGAAGAAGGGAGGGGGGAATCTTGGTTAATAAGATGGATAAGGAAGGAGGACAGATAAATGGGTTAGGAAGAAACCAGGGCCCAGAAGCGATGGCTGCCTCAGCGCCCGTCCTTCCTGCTTTTCAAAATGTCTACTCAGCCATTATGGGTTCTTTGAAGGCAAGGTAGGATAAAAAATGGGATTGAGCGAGAGGACGTTTGGCCAGGAAAACATTAGATATTGGCCAGAATCCAAGTAAATAATTAAACTGACATAAGCTCATTAGCGTAAGTTTCAGTGGTGAATTGCCGCTAGATAAGACGTCGACATTTTGGATTCCTTTTCATGCATCAAGTCACAAGACTGGTGTGAGAGGAGAAATTCAACGGCCGATTCCTTCACTAGCAGCAGTCGCCACAGAGATTTATGCCATCGGGGAGGGAACAGACCTAAGGAACAGGATTCTGGCCGCTTTAATAAGATCAGAGCGTTATCCAGAAACTACTCATTGGCTGTAGTTTTAGGACTGACATTAAAAAAAGAGAACACTTCTTTCTGATTAATAACTTGTGAAAGGCGTTGCCACAGGATCACCGGTCCATTAAAAAGCTTTAAAAGATGAGCAGGATAAAAAGTTTAGCAATGTCTTGTAAGCGCTCTCAGGATAACACACAGATGGGCAATTTAGTCTGATAAATAATAACTGTGTGTCATCAAACTGATTCTGGCTTATGGTGACTCTTTCCAGGATTTTCCAGGTAGAGAATACTCAGAAGTTGTTTACCCTCCCCTTCTTCTTGGGGGGGTGTGTGTGTGCCCTGGGACTGTACAGCTTGCCCAAGGCCACCCAGGCTGGCACTTTTTCCAGAAGACACAGTGGGGATTGGAATTCCACAGCCAGATGCCTAAACTACCAGGCCATCCAGCCTGTTATTTATTCTGAATCCACAGAACATTTGGCTGTTACCTGGAGCACGAAAGACCATGTCCAAAATCAGAAAACAAAACTGCAAGTTATTCTTATATTATAAGTGACTAGAAGTCTACTTCCAGTTTTTGCAAAGTGGGCATGTTTTGGTCCTAAATGGTGGGACAAGCACTGTAATAAATCACCATTACTGGAAACTTTCAGAAGCATCATTTAGTTGAGTTTTGGAGGGTTTTTTTAGCTGAGATTTCTTTCCCTTTTTAAGAGATGCAAAAAAAAAAAAAGACACAAAACCAGCTTGTTTTTGTGGAATTTTACAGTTGTGGAGATGTCATGTTTACGCAATAGCAATAGAAGTGATCTTGTTTCCATGTAAGCTTTCCATGGGATCAGAAAATAGGGGGGCAAGAATCATAATTTAAGGTTTCATGGAGAGCTGTGTGGATACAAGAAGCTCCCACCTTCATCCTGGTTGAAGTCACATACTGAAAGTGATAACAAAGGGGGTGGGGCCGGTGTGGTACCTCCTATTATCTTAAATATTGAATAGGAATGGCATCATGTTTGCATAACAAAGCCTCCCTGTAAAGAGAAGTATATCTTTACTTTCCAGCTTAACTCAAGCATTCAGCCTGTTAATACCCCGATGTTGAGGTTTTTGCTGCTGGAATGAAGAAAGTTTGAGGTCAACATCAATGGATTTGTGTGAGAAAGGATGTCTGCGTTTTGGTAGCAATTAAATGTTCTGGCCTGAGTATTTAGCCAGAGGACACCC